TAAAAAGGTAAGGTAGAGCTACAAGTTGATTACAATTTTTTTCGTAGTGTGCCCGACTTCTGCATGTATTTATTGTTTTGAAATTATTGTGTATGTATTTATTGTTTTGAAAAACAAAAACAAAATAAACAGTCAATAAAATAACAATTAATGATTGGAAGAAACTTAAATTGCGGGGGGCGCACTACTGATATTAACCAGTTTTTCCATGGAATTGAAAGATTGAACATATAGGATCCTTTTTTTTGACGATGTTTTTCAAATTTAATTTTATGTCTGTATATACTGTGTGAGGGGAGAGGAGAGAACCTTGTTATCGACAATTTGTTACTGTTCTATCGATCACAACTAGTGTAGAGTTAAAGAAAGCAGGAAATAAGAAAAGTGTATGGCATACTTTTAGGCAGTATGTATATGTAACTGCTTTATCACTTGTCGTATTTTCTTGAAACATAGCATATATTGTACAAACTACTATAGGGAATAAAATATCGAATTTCCGTTAACAATAAGTGTAATTTTCCATACTCGGAATTGAGTAAAGTATTTACAGCCTGTTTTGGTAAAAGTATTTTTTTCCTTTCGTTTGGAAATTTGGCGATAGAAAATATATTTTGGGTTTTTCTAGTATACAGGGTTAGATTAATAAATTGCAACCAACTACAGACTGCTGTCATTTCTAAGCCACTTGTCCGATAGCTGTTAAAATTATTCCAGTGACAGCTCATTATATTGTTAACAAGCGTACAAAAGCAATTTAGTTAGAATTTTCCAGAAAAAAAGTTATTCGTGATGGAATTCAAGCTAGATAGTGTGATTTCTTTATATTTGGCTATAAAACCACAAGTGGCTATCGTCAGAGCACTCCAGCATTTAAATGTGAATAAATCTTTTGTGTCTCGTACCATCGCTCGTTACCGTGATACTGGTAGCGTAGCCCGACGTCAAGGAAATGGACGGAAGAAAACAGCAACATCAGCAGAAATGGTTCGAAAAGTAAAGAGGCGACTTGTTCGAAACCCGTGTCGCAGTGGCCGTTAAATAGCTCGTGAGCGGAATATTCCATTTGGCAAATATTGAAAAATGAGCTCGGAATAAAACCATTGAAATTCCAAAAAGGGCAAGAACTTACACCGCAACAGAAAGAAAATAGACTTAGAAAGCTTAAGGGTTACATTGCTTGGCCGAAAGTGGTGAACAATCGAATTTGGGTTTCTCCGATGAGAAAACATTCGTTGTCCAGTAGTAAAACTTGCATATTAATTTTGAACGATTGTCATCTTATTTTGACATCTGTCTCGCAGGGCGAATTAAACAATGCTCTCATTTTAACCATGGTACAATTATATCAAGGTATGGCAGAATTATTAAATTTAAAAAACACAACCCTGAAGCTAAAGTCTTGTAACTTTTAGATTACCAATAACAAAAAGAACAAGTAATTTTCTTATTTGACACTTTTCACTCAATATTTTTATACCCTCCACCATTCTATGGAGGGTATATTAGCTTTGTAATTCCGTTTGTAAAAGTATATATATTCTGGATCAGCGTAAAATTCTAAGACGATCTAGTCCGTTTGTCTGTCCGTTGTAATAACGCTATTTTTTGAGATAGAAGGCTAAAATTGTGCATAAAATTCGTAAATGCGACATGTAGGTCCACGTTTTCGTATAGCCCCTATATAACGGCAACATTCGGTATTTTCATGATTTTAGCGACATTATTTACCGGAATTGTCAAACTTCTTCGTCTAGCCTCCATATAACGGTACGGTTGATGATTTTAGCGACATAAATCACCGGAATCGTTTCAAATTTCGTATTGGAAGATCTTAATGGGTACTACAACCTATGGCAAAAAATGTCGTATGCAGGTCCACGTCTTCCCATAGCCCGCATATGACGGTACATCCCGATACTCAATATTTTGATGATTTTAGCGACATTAGAATTAGACCAGAATTGTTTCAAATTTGGTAGTTGAAGTTTGAAATGGGCACTACAGCCTATGGCAAAAATGTTGTATGCAGGTCCACGTCTTCGTATAGTCATTTAAGTGGTAGTTTTCGGATTTTTTTTTAATATATTAAGTTCCTTTCAAAAGATATTAAAAGTTCGGCCCGGCCGAACTTAGCTGCTGTTTTACTTGTCATACAAAAGAAAAAAGCGAAAACCGAATGGAGCGCCGTGGATTTTTCACAATTGCATTTCTTTTTCATCCCAAAACGGAAACATTGTTTTTCGCAAAAACTCTAATATGAATTTAAATTTTAACAGAATTTGAAAATATTTTAAATTATTTTTGTATTTTTCAAAACAATACCTACACACACAAAAACTGTATACACGTTATGAAATTACAAAACTATCATGAGAAAAAATTGAAATGGGAATACCTTGAAATAATTATACCATGTTCAAACCCCCTTAACTTTATGAATAGAGTAGTAAACTCGTATTGTCAGTTCCCAATCAGGATATTAAAACCCAAATAAAAATTTGTGACAAATAATAATAATAATTTATTGAACTGTTAACTATTAAATATTACAACATACTTATGACTACAAAAAAAAAATTAAACTAAAATTTCGCATTAAACTAAAATTACAATTCGAAATTCTATTGTTTTACAGGAGTTATTAGATGCAGCGGATTGATGTAACACACATAATCGCCGAGTCCCAATTTCGACGAGAACCAATAGAAGAACCAACTGCATAGGAAAATTTTACAAACACGATCCAGAAAGTACATTCTGCAAGTGACGTGAGCGGAAGAAAATTAAAAATAAATAATGGTAAGACATTCAAATTGGACTTACATTCTGTAGTTAACTCTTGCCCGCGCCACATTACTCATGGGTTCCTTACAGACATATTGTCGGGCGCCAATACAGCAATTGAACATGTACTCCTCTTTATCGAATTGCAGAGGTGTGGGGAAACTAAAAGAAATTATAAATTAATAAATTTTTCATTCAAAATAGTGTTAAAGTTCATTCGCAAAACTTACATTGCTTTTTCTTCGACTGTCAGTGATTCGCATAGCTCAATAAATTTCGTATTTTTAAAATTCCATGCTTTGGTGGTGAAGAATTGTAAAACTTTCAGGCCGGCCATCAGTCGTTTGTGGGCGCGCATTAAACTGAAAAAAAATCTTTTATGAGCTTTCGTTTTTGCTATGTTTCTCTATTTTGCACTTACAATCTCTTCTGTCCACACAGTGTCAGCAGACAATCGATCAGCAAAGCCGGCAGCCACATAAACAGAACGACATTGATCCAATGATAATACTTGTTCATTGTCAGTGTGCAATTGGGATACCACAGAGGCATGCTCAGAGGATATTCATTATTGAATTCCATTGATTTTTCCACCACCCACCTGCTGCTGGTTTTTTGATCTTCTCCCAGGGTGAGATTGAAAACGGGTACTTCGGCGGGTCTGAAAAAAAAAATAAAAATTAAAGAACTTTCATACATTGTTTTACTAGGGAAAAATAGTGAATGAACTGTTGCAATGCCAACTCCATGGTACTTTGAAAGACAATAATAATTCAGACAATAATTAGGTGGCAACCACAATTTCCCAAAGAAAGCACCTTAAGGTGGGAATACATAAAGCGCTTATCTGGCTAGCTTCTTCGGAAATGAACAAAGGAGCCTAGGGCCAAAATCGAACTAAGTCAACCTAAAACGTCTTGGTTTATCTACGAAGAAGCCAGCTGATGACTTCAGCCCATTGTAGAAGAATATAGGTACACGCGTCGACACAGCTGCTGGGACAATGAACTGTCAAACCAATTTTGGAATTGAAAATGTTGAATGAAAAATTATTTAAATTTGTAAAAATTGTTGAAAAACGCGAATTATAATAGCCTCCGTATGACGTAGTATAAGAAAACATATAAAAATCCACTAACATTTAAAAAAAACATTTAAATTTTTTGACATATCAATGATCCCAAGCGTTGATGCATCTACCTGTATTTCTCTGCCATGCTTCAGCCCGGCAAATATGCGCTTTATGTATTTCCACCCTTATTGTTTTTTTACGCTTAATGTTCTTACATATGTTCTTTACATATGTGCTGTCACTTTTATTATCCATGTGTATTTCAGTGTGATTGACTATGTTGCCATTTTACATACGTCTCTTAATTTTTGCTATCACACACTTGCATATGTTTTTTATTCATTGCGATTATATAGTATTTATGACATGGTAGAATTATGAATGTAAAGTCATGCAATCATATGTTTAAATTTTTTTTTCAAAATTATTCATTTGCTAACATCTCATTGTTAAAATTTATATTTATAAATCCATTGGTAACACAGAAATCAGAGATGGGAACCTGTTTTATTTAGTGAAATTTGACAGGCCAAATTACAGAAAATGCAGAGATGGATACTCTTATGTGAAATGACTTTACCTTCTTAATTTTACCATGCTTTTGGATGCATTTTTATGGAAATTTTAATTTTATATATATTTTCACACAACAAACAAACAATACCTTTGATTAAATTCTATTTTTTTTATGAAAATAGGGCTCGCTGTGATCGAAAAAGTACATATGTAATTTATTCAAAAGCTTCACAACTGAAATGTCATCCATGTGTCACACACATCTTCTACTCTTCAACTTCTACACATGGAAAATTTGACATTCGATATGTAAGAAACATTTCTTCTGATAAAGCCTTTAATTTTCTATTTTTATTGTTGTGTTTTCATTCTCATATTTACGTAGAGGGAGAGATAAAAAACTGCAACAAAGTCAAAAGCCATAATTTTTAATTCATTGGATGAATGCAAAAAAATGTCGGAAATAGCACCAAATTTTAGAATAAGTTTAGATTTGTTTGAATTAGTCACCTTTGGCACGAATTATGGCCTTCAAACGACCAATGAAATCATACGCTGCCCGATTATTTATTTTGGTCCATTCCCGGACTAAGCGCTTGCTTGAGGTGATGGACACTTTGGTATTTTTAAGTGCCAATTTTGCTTTCCAAAATACTCCAGACACAATGGTCCAACGGATTGGTATCCGGAGATTTTGGAGGTCATTGTGCGCTGGAAATGAAGCGAGGAACCTCATTTTGTAACCATTCTTGGGTGGCGAGTGCTGAGTGCAAGGTGCTAATTCCTGTTGAAATGTCCAAGGTCTGCGGCCAAAATGTTTGCTTTAATACACCTTCCTGAATTTTTTGCCATAATATTCGGCATTTATTCTATTGCCACGGTCGATTAATGCGAGTGGAGAGCGACCATCGGCTGTTATGGCGGCCCACACTATTACCATGGCCGGCGCTTGAGTTCTGGTGGCCAACCGAAGGTGCACATTTTCAGCTGACCTCTTTGGCAAGTAAAAACGATCATTTTGTTTGTTTACAAACTGCTGGACAACGAATGTTTTCTCATCGAAACAATTCTTTAGCTCTTTTGAGTCTATTTTCTTTCTGTTGCGGTGTAAGTTCTTGCACTTTTTGGAATTTCAAGGGCTTTACCCCGAGCTCATTTTTCAATATTGGCCAAATGGAATATTGCAATATGTTCAGCACACGAGTCATTTTTCGGACACTGCGACGCGGGTTTCGATCAAGTCGCTTCTTTACTTTTCGAACCATTTCTGCTGATGTTGCTGTTTTCTTCCGTCCACTTTCTTGACGTTGGGCTACGCTTTCAGTATTACGGTAACCAGCAATGGTACGAGACACCAAATATTCACATTTAAATGCTAGAGTGCTCTAACGATAGCCACTTGTGGTTTCCCAGCTAAATATAAATAAATCACACTATCATGCTTGAATTCCATCACGAATAACTTTTTTTCTGGAAAACTCTCACCAAAATGTTTTTGTTCGCTTGTAGATAATATAATGAGCTGTCACTGGAATAATTTTAACAGCTGTCGGATGAGTGGCTTAGAAATGGCAGCAGTCTGAAGTTGGTTGCAGTTTTTTTTATCTCACCCTGTATATGTATCAGTCTTTGCTTAGTTGACCTCAGTGCGACTCCATGCGTTGTTTCTCACTCACTCGTATTTATATATACTGTCCCTTTGTTGTTTACATGCATTGGTGTGTTTTTATATGTGTGTATGTTTATTTGCGAATGTGCGTGGTTTCTCTTTCGTTGGAAAATTGTATAATATTCGGAATTGTGATTCCCGGAACCTCCATGTAAATGATGACCCATAAATACGAGGGAATAAAGAGTCAGTCGTAAATCAGATCGTGAAATTAAACCGTGAGCAAAGTAAAGTGTGACCTAAACAATGTCTGAACCATTGTAGAATAATCCAACAAAACAGCTATTGGCATAATTAATTGTCAAAACATGTTTGAAATTCCAAATTTTAAATAAAATATTATTCAAATTTGCAAAAATTGTTGAATGAAATATCAATGTTCGTAATTGGATCTACCTGCTATTAAATTAATCATAAGGCGTTTACATACAACAGCATTTAATGCATGTCTTCTGTTATCAATTTATTGTGATTGGCCAATTATCAGGGTTGACCAGAGTAACGTTTTTGTATGTAAATGTACTTCAAGGCAAGTAGTCGAAAATTAACCTTTCTTTCATTTGGAGTAAATCACGTCGGGGAATACAAAAGCGGATGGACCATGGTACAATGATATCAAGGTAGGGCTATGATACCATATGATGTGATGATTTATTTGTTTATATATGTGTTTTCTTTTCAATAACAAAAAAATGGTTCAGAAAACATTCAAATTCGGGTGTTTTCAAAATGCTTATTTCAACGTATGCATCGACAAAATCTAGAGTTTTTGTAGCAAAATAATCCTTTAGAGATATGTAGTACATGACTTTGAAAAGAAGTGTTGACCTTTCATTCAGTTATCGCGGTTTTCAATTATTTATTCAAAATAAATGCAACAAGTTCTTTGATTTTTAATTGTTCTGATACTAATTCTGACATTACAAGCCAAATAGGTAGACCTCTATACTTGCAATTTTTTCAAAGTTGGCCTACCTTCTCTTCATTGTACCATGGGATGGGCGACATTTCAGTTGTGAAATACTCTTGGTAGAAGAATACAGGTAGATGCATCAACGCTTGGAAACATCGATACGTCAACATTTTTTAAACGTTTTTTTTTTTTTTCAAAAATAAGTAGATTTTTATAAGTTTTCTTATACGACGCCAATTGGAAGTCGTTATGATATTTATTTTTCAACAAATTTCACAAATTTGAATAATTTTTCATTCAAAATTTTCAATTTTAAAATTGGTTTGACAGCTCATTGTCTTAGCAGCTGTGTCGATGCGAGTAAAGTTTATATGTACTTTTTCGGTCACAGCGACCCCTATTTTCATTAGAAATACACAGTTTAACCAAATGTGTTCTTTTTTTGTGTAAAAATATATAAACTTAAATTCACGCTGAAAGTCACCCATAAAGTATTATAATTTTTTAGAAAGTACAATGTAACCAAAGGAAATAAAAAAAAGCATATGCAAGTGTGTAATAGCATGAATAATAAGTCATGTGTGGAAAGGTAATTTTGACATACACACGGAAACACACATGGATAATAAATGTGACAGCACATATGTAAAAGCCTTATTGTCTGATAGCAGCTCAATCTTTTAGTTTTGCAACGGAATATAGTTGCACACACTTTGTCATTTTGGGTCAGCCATTGCTTTCCGATTGTCCGAAGTGCCTTTAAAAATATAATAAATACCTTTGAGGGGATATGAAAGATATGCAGAGTATTTCCTTTTGAGAGAAGACCCGATTCTCCATTGCTTTTTGACAAAAAAAAAACTTATTGTTAAAACTCTTATATCTCCAATACATACCTGGTTTTCATTTGATTCACATAATGCGGTATGAAAATAAGACCTGTTGTGGCATGATCTACGGGAATATTTTCAACTTTAGCATCAGCATCACACATCAACGAACGGAGAACACCTTTACCGCCAGCAATGGCTAAACCAACTGGACCATTCATGTTGTCAATCCATCCTTCCAGAGGTTCTTTATAGGCACACGTGACTGCAATAATAAAATAACATTATTTGTGTTTTCAAAACATGTAAATTACATGGTAAAATTATGGAGGTAAATAAGACTATCCATCTCTGCTTTTTCTTTAATTTCCGTTGTCAAATTTCGCGGCATAAAAAACAGGTACCCATCTCTGATTTGTATATATGCAATGAATTTATGAATAAACAATTTGACAATGAGAAGATGCCAAACGGAATGACTTTACCTTCTTAATTCTACCATGGTAAATTATAAAAATGTGATTTTAAAGCATAAATGCATAAGATTTTTTCTGTTTTAATAGCGCGTTTAGATTACATGCTAAAGGACATTGTGTTTTTACGACGGTAATATGGTGCACTCCAAAGTCGTTATTTTTATTTATTACAAATTTTTAGTGGCAACCATGGTAGAAGAATACAGGTAGATGCATCAACGCTCGGGCGCATTGATATGTCAAAAAAATTAAATGTTTCTTCAAATACAAGTAGATTTTTATATGTTTTCTTATACTAAGTCATTCGGAGGCTATTATAATTTGCGTTTTTCAACAATTTTTACAAATTTAAATAATTTTTCATTCAACATTTTCAATTCCAAAATTGGTTTGACAGTTCATTGTCCCAGCAGCTGTGTCGACGCGTCTACCTATATTCTTCTACCATGGTGGCAACGCTGCCGAAAACCTAAAAAATTGTTTACGTTTGTGAAAATCAAAATGGGTATCACAATAGGCGATCAAATGATTTTAACTAAAAATTAAGAAAAAAAAATTATTATTTTTGTTTATAGATGTTAATAGAATGGAATCAAAATGTCTGGAAGGTCAAAAACTTTAATGCGCATTGAAGGGGGTTATAACGCACAAGAACCCTGGCGTGTGTTAACATTGTTTAAATTATCATTTAATTGATGTATAATTATAAAAACGTGTTCGGTGTAAATAAGGTGTTAAGTATTTTTGCCTTTAATCCAATTAAGATCTCAAAATGCAGAGGAAACTCGATAATTGCCTCTAACCCGTAAAAAATTAATTGGTATAAATACCATCGAGATTCAATCCATTCATCTTCCCATTTCCTGTTTCGTCTTACCTATACTTGGTCGGGCAATTACAACCGGCATCGTTTCGTAATGATTGCGAACATAAATCTCTGTCAAACGTTTCGTATAGGTATAATTATTCGGGTGAGGTTCGATTAAATCTTTTCTTATCGCATCCAATGTCTTGGCGTCCATCCATTCGGCGAGACGCATTAAATCTTCAGGTTTCTGTTGTACTTCGTAAACCTGCTCGTACAGAACTTTGTGATCGTAATTACAGAATGTCGTCGATAGGTGGACAAAAGAGACAAGATTTTTCATTTTACGTGCAACATCGAGTGCACGTCGTGTTCCGGCCAAATTCATGTTAATCGATTCGCTCAGAGGGCATTCCATTTTCAATGAGGCAGCCATGTGAAAAACAATATTCGTATTTTCTGCAACATATTTTAATTCATCATCGGATAGGCCTAAATATTCCAATGTGATATCGCCCTGAAACATGGTCACCTTTTTCAGGGCATGTGGTTTCTCGTCTTTGATGCGTTGGAAAATCTGCAAAAAGCAGGGGAATAATTATAAATTATATCTGAAAAAAATAATTTTTTATAGGACTTACAGGAGCCTTCCATATCTCCTCCAAACGTGACTGTGGACATTTACCTCTCTTAGGCCGACAAATGATGATAATTTCCTTTAGTTCACTGCATGAATAGAGTAATTTTTCGATGAGAACTTTGCCCATAAAACCGGTTGCACCGGTAATAAATATCGTTTTGTCTTTGTAATACTGCTGAACGGGTGTTAACGCCGACATTTTCTGGAAAATAATGGAGATTGTCAAAAATTTTAGTCAAGTCGATGTAGAATATAATAACGGAATAGTTTATAGAACTACTCATGGTAGAAGAATATAGGTAGACGCTTCGACACAGCTGCTGGGACAATGAACTGTCAAGCCAATTTTGGAATCGAAATTTTTGAATGAAAAATTACTCAAATTTGTAAAAATTATTAAAAAAATGCATATTATAACAACCTCCGATTGGCGTTGTGTGGTAAAACATAGACAAATGTACTTATTTTTGCAGAAATATTTAAAAAATTTTGACATATCAATGTTCTCAAGCGTTGATGCATCTACCTGTATTTTTCTAGACCATGGTAAAATTAAGAAGGTAAATTCATTTCAAATAAGCATTCCCATCTTTGCATTTTCAGTAATTTACTTTGTCAAATTTCACTGCATAGAAAGCAGGTTCCCATCTCTGATTTGTGTGTGTGTGTGCATGTGTATATATATTATAAATAAAAAATTTTGGTAATGCGATGTTGTCAAATAAATAATTTTGGGAAAATTGTAAACATATGATTGCATGACTTTAAATTCATAATTCTACCATGCTCTCAGGCAAAAATGCTACAGAATTTGTAAATAGAAAGGTGAGAGAACATTTCCCTGTGACTGTCAATTGTTCACTATTGAACAAATGATTCAGAAAACTGTTGGTAGAGAGGTTCAAAAAACAATATTCAATTTGAAAGCAATATTGATTTAAATGACGAGTTTAATCCCAATCCAGATATATAAAGTTTGTCGGAATTAAATGTGCGTTTATGGGAGAGAGCGAGAGAGCCGGTTAAAAAGAGACATTTACATCATTCAACTGCTTGTTTCTCACATACAACTGACTCTTCTTATCCGTAAACTTTCTCGTCTGATAACGGAAGTAAGGAGAGCGCAGTATTATCTTAGCACATAAAAGAGTGTAGAAATGTTATACACAAGCTCAGCTGATTACCAAAAAATCTGTCAATTAAATTTGAATTCGCTGCAATGAGAATATGCAAGATTTGCAGAAAGAAAGAGATGCCAGGGAAGAGGTATTTTTTCCGTCCCCATGGATGAAAAAATTAGTACTCTTTGTCAAGGGTTGTTCGTGCATATGGTAAAATCCGGAAACAAATATAGATTATTGCCTATCGCTGTTCCAAAATGCCGACCGTCAATGCAGCACATAAGTAATACTTCGAATTTGAGATGAGGAATTATGGCACTATGTTATTCCATTTCTTAAACGCAATATTGGGTCATTTTTCTTTATATTGTGAAAAGAGAGCTCAGATTTTAATAATTATGAAAACTACTTTCGACTTGTGTTTTGATAGATTATCGCAGGAGCGCATGGTAGAAGAATAAAGGTAGTCGCATCAATACAGCTGCTGGCACAATGAACTGCCGATCCAATTTTAGATTAATTCGCTCGAAGGAAGACATTATAATAGGGCCATGGTTGCACACTTCTAAACGTTTAGTAATATTGAAGGAATGAAGGAGAAGAGAGAAGTTAAAGGGCTAAGTAAATAAGAAGCTTGAAGTCATGGCACGGCCTATTTTGTGACATTTCACAAAGGAATTACAGAGCCCCACTAAAATCCTGCCGTCGTTTTTCATTATAATTTGGCATTAATATGCCTAGCCATGACTTCAAGCTTTTTATGTATTTGCAGCCTAACCGATGGTAGAAGAATACAGGTAGATGCATCAACGCTTGGGAACATTGATATTTCAAAAAATTGTAAATGTTCTTTAACAAATAAGTAGATTTTTATATGTTTTTTATGCGACGTCATTCGGAGGTTATTATAATTCGGGTTTTCAAAAATGTTTACAAAAATTTAATAATATTTTTTTTTCAACATTTTCAATTCCAAAATTGGTTTGACAGTCCATTGTCACAGTAGCTGTGTCGATGCGTCTACCTATGTTCTTCTAGCATGAGTTAACCGTACACTAATATCAAGTTCACATGGAACGTGATTCGCACTCTATTTGTTGTTTTACCCTAAAGTATGAAATACTTGTCGCATCTAACAAAGAATTTTCTACATTGTTCACTTTAACACACTTTCTGCACAACCGCTTAAAATGAGAGTATTTTTTACAAAAATTACTTCAAAATAAAAAGAAAAATCGAGAGAACGCTTATACAATGTTCGAATTGGCATTACGTATACGAGTTAACGTGCCATACAACATGGTTCCTAATTTCTAGTAGCATAATTTAGTTTTTACTACTTCTTTTTTGATTTTGATGGCAATTTGAATGGAAATCCATGAAATACGCACTGATACAAGCAGAAGAAAGAATTGTCTTTTCTTATACATTTTTTAAATTTTTTCTAAAAAGTTGAAACTTTAAATATAAAATTCATATGAGTACATAAATTAAAGTCACTTAACATATGATTTTTTATATCATTTCATGACTTACTCTGTTGTAACAAAATAGTTGTGTTCCAGAACCTACAAATTAGTACTAATTAGTGCTAATTCTGCTACAACGCATTCCCGTCTTCGAAAAACTAGCAACACTTGCAGCTCTCTCGAGAAAAAAAATGGCGCTGAGTAGTACACATTCCTGTTTGTTTTACCTACATGAATTTGGCCGAGCAAAAATGTGAATATTGTAAACTTGACATTTAATTGGTAGGGCTAACAAGGTTGAATAATTATTGATACATTTCAAATTTCGCGCGTGACAACAAATGTAAAGAAAAAAGATAAAATTAAAAACTAAAGAAAAACTAATATTTGTCGTGCAAAAAACAAAAAGAGAAAATATGGAGCAACTGATGTATTCACTTTTGGATGATTCCAGGAGTGAAGAGGCTGAATGAGGAATCAGACGAAGAAAACGTATTTTAAAACAGTGCAAAATTAGTGAAAGGTAAATTGAAAAATTAAGTTTAAAATGAAAGATGATCGCTTATTACTGCGAACATTTTCTTTTTATTTTTTAGGCTGGCTGTCTTCTCAACTTGTGGCATTAAGTCTTCTAGCAGAATTAACATTATTTTAAGCGGCGCCTCCAACCATGTCAGCTTCTCCGGGGTTAGGTTTTGAGAAAACTCCACCTCTAAATACTCTTCAAAGCATTCTTAAAGCAAAACTTTCTAAATAAACAACATTCAAAAATAATTATTAATTTTAACTTATTTTCAATACTAATTTTTTTAATTTTTGGCATCCATTTCAGTAAGGTTTCACAAGTCCGATTTAGACTGTTTTCTTTTGGAATTTTGAATGTTGACATTTTATCGCATTTCTCCTAATTTTCCGTTCCCTTATTTTTTGAGCACACCTAAATGAGAATGGCATTTCGTACTGTTCTCTCTTCTGCTAGTTTTACTACTAAAAAAGTACTGGAACACAACTAATATTGTTTATAAAAAGTCCCATTTTTAGTCTTCTTCTGCATTAAAATCTCAAATAATTTGTATTGTTTTTTATAGAGAATATGATTAATCTTTGGTTGTTTCTATCATTTTTTCCTAATCTCCTCATTTAAATTTGAAATATTTAAAAAATGTTCAACATTTTCGTGAATCTAGTATGAGAACGAAATATTCGTAACAAAAATTCTTGTAAACCAATAACAACACGTTCGAGCCGTTAGTTATCACACTCTGTTTATTTGCACGTAACCATGACCCCAAGCTAGGTAAAATATGCAGAATCTGCAAAGAATTTCATAACACTTGCGTGTTCTACAATGGCGATTGGCAATGGCAAAAATGCAAACTATGCGAAAATAATAAAAATTCACCTGTACCCATGTTCATTGGTGACATAACTTTTTTTGTTGGAATTTTGGCAAAGAACACAATATCACGGTGACTAGCACGTGTTTACTTTAAAATCTTTGCGTTAAGATTTACAAATCAAGTTTATATGTATTTGCATATCTGCGCAAAAAGTTTAATATATTTCATCAACTAGTCTGCTATTTAAGAATAATTTGTAAAATTTGCAAAAAATAAATAATTCATCAAGTTTTTATTCATAACTATCCATAGAATTTGATAGTTTTTAGAATTCGCTCGTTTTATGAATTTTAAATATTTGCATAAAGATTTGCGGTCATAGACATTTATAAATGGCATAAAGTTGGGCAGAACCAATATTTTTATCACCATCACGTTGAAAACGTAGCAACAATAGCGCAGTATTTATTTGAATGTCAAAAATTGTTAAGGCCAGTTTACACAACATTTCAAATTCACTTTTTTTAAAGTTAAAGTTAGTCTGCTTTACATCGAAACCTAAGTTACACATTTCACAAAGACTCACCATTTATTTGACTTATAATCAAAAGAATTGACAATCTAAATAAAACGTTTTGTAAATAAATATAAATAAGGCTTAATACTATGTTTAACTTATACTATGTTTACATCATATAATTTATTAAATAATCTAAAGCATTTCGCTGTAGTTTTAAAATTGTGAAGAGGATTTAATAGTATGCCTTAAAAATTCTAGGTATAAATGTAAACAATTCAATTTTCATATGCCTCTTAAGAAATGTGTGAACTAGCCTTTACCAAAGCGGTTTTATACACACCGGAACCCTGCTATATAGCCAAACAATCAAAAAACATGAAATTATGAAGTAGTTAACCTATCTCGCCTACATTTTATGATATCCTCTCGCCGAGTATCTTAAAAGCCTACAAAGGTCTAGTTTACATATTATGTAAGTGTCATGTGTAAAGTACAACGCAATAGAATGTACTGATACCATTATTATAATATAAATGTATTAATTTTTACTTTACAACAAAGCGGTTATTTTTAGTTTCAAAATTGTGGGGATCGTTTAAGAGCAAGTCACTTTACATATGATTCTAACATTATGTATAGATTAACGTTAAAAATAGAGGTGAGGGTTACTAATACAAAAAGTCCACTTTTATCGAATTAGCATAAGACATTTTTACTATGGTAAAGAGCATTTTCAGCCTAATCAGGATTTATTCAAATAGTTTTACAATACCAAAATAACTATTCTTACTACCAGGCCTATTTTAAATCCGATATGAAATATATATGCATATTGCTCCCGTATTCAGATATGGTAAAAGAATATAGGTAGGCGCATCGACACAGCTGCTGGGACATTGAACTGTCAAACCTATTTTGGAATTGAAAATTTTGAATGAAATATTATTTAAATTTGTAAAAATTGTTGAAAAACGCTTATTATAATAACCTCAGAATGACGTCGTATAAGAAAACATATAAAAATCTATTTAGTTTTGAAGAAACGTTTAAAAAATGTTGACATATCAATGTTCCCAAGCGTTGATGCATCTACCTGTATTCTTCTGCCATGCTATGTATTCATAAACCAAGGAAGTGAAGTACAGATGGCGTTTGTCGCAACATGAAGTTTTATACAGTTCCAATCGCTCATTTACACGAGTAATTTTTAAATCACAAAGCACCGTTCAAGAACCTGTACAAAATTTGGTACCCTACCACTTTTAAGGCTAAAATAGATCAAAGCTTCAATTTGTCATCGACGTGAAAATACGGCACACAAAAAAACATCAGCTGATCGGCATGTAAATACTCTCATGGTTATATCTAAATAACGCGAGATTTTTTTGTATAAATAAAATTTGGTAGATGTTTTACGAGTAGTCTAAATGTGCTATGAGAACTCAAATCAATTTTAAGCTCTATAGGCGGAATGTTTTTGCATAGGCAATGTCAAATTTTCCATATGTTTGTGTTACAATTATCGTGTGATACATGCTCACCATTTTATTTGTGATATATATATGTACTTTTTTGTTCACAGCGTTTACTATTTTCATCGGAAAAATATAATTTTATCAAGATATCAAGATTTGTTGCGCACAATTATACAAAATCAAATTTGTGGCAAAAACTCATTTAGAAATTACAAAAATTTATTGTACAATAAAATATAATAACAATGTAATTAGGAAAGGAAATAAAAAACATTGCAAGTATCTGATAACCACAATTATGAGTCGTGTGTAAAATGACAATTTTGACATAAACACTGAAATGCACGTTGACAGCACATATGTAAAAAAAAAAAACATTCCGTCTGATAAAAACTTTACAACAAATTTCGTAAAGGTGATAGTACATAAAAAGCTTTTTTCACTTGCATAGATAGAAAGATAGAACAAGACAGAGTCAAAATCTTGTCACCAGGTGTAAATACATCTGTTGTTACGATACCATACCTATATTAAGTAATTTAAACCGCTAAGACACTATGTAAATAATTGGCAATAAAATTTTGGAACCAAATTTTTGGATTATTCAAATTATTATTTATGTATTATTTTCTATAAATGTGTTTTTATACCCTCCACAATACATAGTACGGAGGGTATATTGAGTTCGTCATTCCGTTTGTAACTCAACGAAATAATAATTTTAGACCCAACAAAGTAAAGATAGGAAGCTAAAAGTTTGAACCGATCTGTCTATTGTCTGCAGTTCGAAATAGCAGTATCCCCGATATTCAGTATTTTGAAGTTTTTTATCATATTTTTCAATGGAATTGTCTGATATTCTACACAAGGAGTTCTCTGTGAGTACTTTAACCCCTGGAAGAGAACTGTCTATATATATTTTATGTATATGGTCTATGTTTTAGTATAGCACCCATATAACGCTACCCCGAGATATTCGGAATTTCCAGGATTTTCGCTATATTATTCACCGGAATTATGTCAAATTTCGTGTTTGAAGTTCGTAATGGGTACTATAAACTATGACGGAAAATTGTCTATGCAGGTTTACGTCTTAGCTCACATACAACTGTGCCTCCCTTTATTTGGTATTTTGATGATATTAGCGACATTATTCACCGGAATTGTTTCGAATTTCGTATTTGAAGTTCACCCCGTCTTCGTATAGCCCCCATATTTGAGCAATATTTTTCGGCGGATTTTATTTTTAATTTTTCAAGTTCCTTCCGACAGGTGGAGGGTATTTTAATTATGGACCAAAATCGAACTAAGACAACCTTAAACAAAGCAGCCAGTCGTTGACTTAAACTAGAAAAATCTTAAATGTATCTGTATTTCAAGATCTACCGACAGTTGTCAACTTTTTTTATGAAAAATTTCCGTATGAAGTTTAGCGATTTTGGGCGACAAAGAGTTGGAGAATCCCACAACAGGTGTAATAAATAGGGCTACGTTTAAAATGTTGTAAAATGTCCAAACTTGTCGCAAGGAACGCCGTCAGTTTTGGTTTGCTATTTTATTTGGTGAGCTCAAACATAGATGGCGCTCTTTATAAATATGCTCAGTCCAACAATGCATTTAGTCGCAATCTTCTTGGGCTTGCTGCTACAAATAAAGTTTTATAATCACATGTGTAAGGTATCCGGGTCCAAAAACCATATTTATAGGTTATTTTTTACTTTTTTCGGAAGCCTTATCAAAAATTGGTTCAAACAAAAATTTTAGATTCCTCTGGTATATTTGGCGTTACGTCTATACATTGATCAGTCACAGAGTCGATTTCCCTACATGTCAGCAGTACAACTGAGTAACTAACATATTTGAAGTACCAAAAATATTGTCAGTAGCATCACAATTTCTATTCACTGAAATAAACGTAGTTACAAATATAGTATATTTATACCCTACACCACAAGGTGGTCAGGGTATTATGTCTTTGTGCATTTGTTTGTAACAGGCAAAAGGAAACGAGATAGACCCATTGTTCCTTTTGATGATCTGCATAGAATCACATTCTTAGTCGATGTATGCATGTCCGTCCGTCTGTCTGTCCATGTACAAACAAAGTACAGGCCGCAACAATACAACTAATTCGTTTCACCCAAGGACGAACCCTGTTGAAATTGGATATAATCGGTCAAAATTTAGATATAGCTCCCATATATATCTTCGTCCGATTTGCCTTTTATTGTGCGCCAAACGTGTTATATCAGCCCGAATAGTATGCAATTTTGCAACCAAATTAGGCCTGAAAATAAGTATGCCAAATTTGATCGAAATCGGTTCAGATATAGCTATAGCTCCCATATATATTGTTCATCCGATTTGTTATTTTTTTCCTCCCCAGCCGTATTATGCACTCTGTAACAACAATATTTGGGGAAATATCATATATGCAGCTCAGAAATACATTTGCTAAATTTTATAGATTTCGGTTCAGATTTGGATATAGCTCTCATATATAACTTCGTCCGATTTACCTTTTATTGTACACCAAACGTCTAATATTTGCCCAAATGGGATGGAATTTGGCTCATGTGACCGAATTGAGTCTAGAAGCTAGTATGCCAAATTTGGTGATGATCGGTTCAGATATAGCTATAACTCCCATATATATTGTTCATCCGATTTGTTACCCACAGCCGTAATATGCACTCCGTAACAATGATATTCAGGGAAATATATCAAATACAGCTAAGAAATATTTTGCCAGATTTGGTCGATTTAAAATTAATTGTGCATCAAATGGGCAATACAAGTCCGAATTTAAAAGATATAAATCATTCGTCATATTTAGTCCTTTGAACTTTAAATTATAATTATAATCATAGCGTGTATGATTGAATTCTCTCATAAAAACTTTTAATTGTTATGCAGACCTCTACTAAATTAGCAAAGTCGTGTAGGGTATCATAAAATCGGCCCCGCCCGACTTTAAGACTTTATTTACTAGTTTTTATACTGAAATGTAATTTTCCATAACTTTAAAATATTTAAATTTTCCTGGAATTTCATTAATTTTTATTATTTTTCAATCGATTTGTACTTCTCACAAAATTTTTCAATAGATGTACGTCTGAAAACAGGACGATATTCCAAATCATCAACTTGTCTCACAGGAGTGACGAAACTTATTTAAAATAAAACCTTGAACTTATACACTTAAGTCTCTGTGTTTATGATCTGTCAGTGAATCAATCACTCATCACTCCATTTTTTTTCTTCTACAAATAAATATTGAATATGTTTTCTTTAAAAACACATCATTTCACATCTCATTTTTTTATTATTTTTGGTCTCAGTACGATAAAACATGTAACTTCTTAAATTTTTTAGCTCAAACATTTGTAAACATTTATCCTTTAATGACATATTTTTTAATTTTTCTAATTAAATTCATAAATGTTTTCACTAAAATATTTTATTTTGTATTTTTTTTTCAAATGTTTTCTAAATGAAATATTTCCTTTGTTTAAATTATCACTTGCATACTTTTCTTTTATTTTCGTTCGAATTTCGCAGCGTCCGCGTAACTTTTCTGGTTTGTGATTCCACCGATCGACTTAAACGACAAACTAAACAATATCTGAATCTTCTCTGTATCGTCGTTTCAAAAAAAAAATGATTTTGCTTAATTAACAAAATGCTTGCGCACGCCTTCTTTCGTCTTTGTGTTGTAGTCACGCACTCGCCTCTTTGACAGTCGTTTCACGTACGCATCTAAACTGTGACTGAAATTCTAGTGGCCGAAACGTAACTTACAAAGCTGGCTTAAGGTTGCTTGTCGTGGCTGCTAGCGTTAAGAGATAATTTTATTGGTTTGGCTTGACTTGTGACGTGAGCTGATGGAGTTTAATTTTTTGCGTTTTTGGCAAAAACCAACAACAATTATTAAATTAACATAAAACAAACATGCAATCAATGTTAAATTCTGAAGAATTTTAATATTCCCCAACCCTAAAAATTTTAATGAAAGAAAAACGAAGACAAAGACTTATAATTTTTTTTTAAAAATTCTACGCTAGAGTGGCTGCCACCAAAAAGAGGCTAAAATAATTTTGCATGTTAGCAACACACACACGCACACACACAAATATGAACCCAACATACCAAAAATACAATACAGCTTGAGAATAATATTATGAAAATAGTTTATCATAAGAATTTTTCAACAATGCTTGAGAAACACTTTTTTGCACAAACTTTTCTCAAATCTGTCCTTTGTTGACAAATTTGTTTTGATTTTTTTTTTGTGAAAATTGTCAACAAAAAATTATTTTCTTTGGTTAAAATCAAAATCACGCGAATTTAGGACCCATTTCCGGACGAAACTCTAAGGTAATGATGAATAATAAATCTGGGAATCTGTAGTATAAATTATTTCAATCTCATTTCAGAATGGCGTCAAAAAGTTGCAGGAATGCAACAGAAGTGAAGAATAAGTGGAGGAGATACAGAAGCTCAAATAAGGGGAAAGAAAGCATCTAGGTATCAAGGCAACAGGATGCAGTGACAGCTGGGATGGCAATCAATGAATGAAATGTGTAAAATAATTAAAAAATGAATAAATAAATATTTTTTACCATTGAAAAAATAAGCTTTATAAAATATTACTTTCGTAAGCTTATTCTGCAATTACAAGAATAAGCTTATGAATAAGGGTTCCTTTTCGATTATTCTATAATTGTTAAACAAACATTTCTCAATACATTCTCAAGATTTTCTCAAGCTTTAGGCTTATGTTTGTAAGCTTATTAAAATATTATTCTCAAGTCAATTTGGTATGTTGGGGAATATTTAAAAAAATGAATGGCATGGCGACAAATCTAAATCAATTACCAAATGACAAAGCCATACGAGTTGTTAATTGTCTGTTAGGGTTTTTCTAATACAACAACAAAAAAAAAAAACTCTTTGAGGCGGAAATTTTACCCAGCCAATGGGGAAGATTTCGAAGGGAACGGCCTGTGTTAAATTTATTAATCGTAAATGTTATTTTTAGTATTTGAAAAAAAAAAAAAACAAGAACTATTATTACGAGTAATTTAATTTCAATTGTTGGAAAATTAAAAAGTTAATAACAGGAAGTAAGATATATTCTGTTTAATGGGAAGTTTTGAGCGTTCTATATGTCTTCTATAAACCGAAGGCCGTTCGGTGGTATTTGTTAGATAGAAGCCATTTAAGAGGTATCCTGTACTCAGAGTTTCTGAGCCCCCGGAGGCTAGAGAATTGCATATAAAATTTTTTATAGGCAAATTAAATGATGTATCAAGTAAAAAACAGTAAGTTTGGCCGTGCCGAACTTTGAATACCCTCCACTATTTGGAATGAATTTGGAAATTTTCAAAAAATAAAATCCTTAAAAAATTCTGTTAACATTTTGAAAATACCGAATATAGCCGTTATATTGGGGTCTATACGACGGGGACCTACAAAGGCATTGTTTCTCATAAGCCATTACCATATTCAAATTCGAAACTTGAAATAAAAGGTGAATAATATAGCTAAAATCATAAAAATATCGTATATAGGGAGGTACCGTTATATCCGAGCTGTGCGAAGACCTGGACCTGATTAGACAACTTTCGGTCACAGGCTGTAGCATCCATTACGAACTTTAAAAACGATATCTCAAACAATTTCGGTGGATATTGTACCTAAACTCGTCAAAATACCGAATATTGGGAGGTACTGATATATGGGACCTATACGAAGACCTGGACCTGCATAGACAATTTTCTGTCACAGACTTAATTTCCCATTACGAACTCTAAATACGTAATTTCAAGCAATTCCGGTTAAAAATGTCGCTCAAATCATCAAAATACCGAATATACAGGGAGGTACCGTTATATGGGGGTTATACGAAGACGTGGACCTGGACAGAGAATTTTCCGTCTTAGGTGGTAGTATCCATTTCGAACTTCAAATACCAAATTTGAAAGAATTCCGGTGGATAATGTCGCTAAAATAATCAAAATACCGAATATAGGGAGGTACCGTTATATGGGGGCTATACGAAGACATGGATCTGCACAGACAATTTTCTGTCTTAGGCTGTAGCATCCATGTGGAACTTTAAATATCAAATTTGAAACAATTCCGGTGAATAATGGCGCTAAAATCATCAAAATACCGAATATCGGGATGTAACGTTATATGGGGGCTATATGAAAACGTGGACCTACATGGCCCATTTACGAACTTAACCTGCCTACTGTCAAAATAAACATGTGTGCAAAATTGTAGCCCTCTATCTCAAATCGTTCGAAATATAGCGTGATTACAGACAGACCGACGGACTTCGCTACCTTCTTCATTTTAACATGGAAAATTTATTCAATTTTTTAAAAAATTTTTGAAATTTTATATCATAGCACCTCCGGTTGGTGTCGTATAAGAAAACTTCTGAAAACTTACTTATTTTTGAAAAAAAAAAAAAAAAACATTTTAAAATATTTGACGTATCAATGTTCCCAAGAACAAGCATCTACCTGTATTCTTCTACCATGGCGCAAGCTTTAGCATAGGACTGCTTAAGCTTTATTGAAACAGATTTTTTTCGAATAACGGTTTTTTTTAGATTGTCAATTCCTTTCATTTTACGTCAAATATATTACGATTACTTATTACTTTAGGTGTCGGTATGCATTTAGGTGTCGGTATGTACTGCATTTAATGCAAAGTCCATGGGAGAATCAAGAAGGTAAAGTCAAGCAATCATATGTTTACAATATTTTCAAAAAATTATTCATTTGACAACATCTCATTGTCAAAATTTGTATTTATAAGTCGATTGTACATATACAAATCAGAGATGGGAACCTGTTTTTATGTAGTGAAATGTGACAAGGTAAATTACAGAAAATGCAGAGATGGGAATGTTTTCTTAAAATGACTTTACCTTCTTAATTTTACCACGGCAAAGTCTTTCCTATCTCTAAACCAGTAAAGAAAGTCCTAAAGTCGGGCGGGGCCGATTTTATGATACCCTACACCACTTTGCTAATTTAGTTGAGCTCCACATAATAATTAAAAGTTTTTTATGGGAGAATTCTATCATACACCCTATGATTATAATTATAATTTAAAATTCGAAGGACTAAATATGCCGAAGCATTTGTTTCTTCTAAATTCGGACTTGTATTGCCCATTTTGTACAAAATTAATTTGAAATCAGATAAAGATATATATGGGAGCTATATCCAAATCTGAACCGATCTTGATAAAATTTGGCAAAGATATTTCTGAGCTGTATTTGATATATTTCCCTGAATATCGTTGTTACGGAGTGCATATTACGGCTGTGGGTAACAAATAAAACAAATCGGATGAACAATATGTATGGGAGCTATAGCTATATCTGTACCGATCTTCACCAAATTTGACATACTAACTTCTAGACTCAATTTGGTCGCATGTGCCAAATTCCATCCCATTTGGGCAAATATTAGACGTTTGGTGTACAATAAAAGGTAAATCGGACGAAGTTATATATGGGAGCTATATCCAAATCTAAACCGATCTCGATAAAATTTAGCAAAAATATTTCTGAGCTGCATTTGTTATAATTCCCCAAATATTGTTGTAACAGAGTGCATATTACGGCTGCGGAAGACAAAAATAACAAATCGGATGAACAATATATATGGGAGCTATAGCTATATCTGAACCGATTTCGATAAAATTTGGCATACTTATTTTCAGGCCTGATTTGATTGTATGTGAAAAATTCCATACTTTTCGGGCTGATATTACACGTTTGGTGCACAATAAAAGGCAAATCGGACGAAGATATATATGGAAGCTATATCTAAATTTTTACCGATTATCTCCAACTTCAATGGGGTTCGTCCTTGGGCCAAACAAATGTTGTTTGGAAAATTTCATCTCAATCGGATATTAAATGCGACCTGCATTTTGTTCTCAAGAATACATGGCATGTTACAAACAAATGCACAAAGACATAATACCCTGACCACATTGTGGTGTAGGGTATAAAAAAAATTGCCATCATCTGGATTTCCTCAAAAGCTATACCCCAACAAACATATTTCTTCGAGTGTAGTCTAATCTTTTTGTGTAAATCACTAATTTAATAAATATTCATGAGTTAAGAAGAAAGTTTGCAAAGAAGATGAATATGATAAATCAATCAGATTGATCTCAGGTTAAGTATGTTGGAAGAATGCCATGTCATTCAAACTATGACTGTAGACCTCTGTATATATGTAAATGTATAAAATCTTATGGATACATAAATATAATGCCGACTAACTTGAATAAGAAAAAATGTCAACTTTTGTTCTTCTGTGAATATTTTGGGTCATTAAACTATTTGAAATTAGCATTTGGTGGTGTTCAGATTCGCTTTCTATAATAACACACGAATTTTATTGACATGATTGACTCTACACCATAGTAGACGTCTATTATTATAGACTCGTCTTTGATTTGCATTGATTCAATCGGATGTGATTTTCAAAAACTCTGTTTCGTTACGTGCAAGAATCTTCAACTTTAAACTCGGCTACTACTTCTATACACAAAATAGCAGTCCATAAGTAAACATTTGCAAAAGTTTAAGAGTTTTAAAGTAAAGTCGACCCGAGTTAACCTCCTGACTTAATACACATACCATAAATTCATTGTGATTAGTCAATAATCAGGATTATTCCGGGTGGAGATTTTCCATGTAAACATACTCTAAGAGGAATGAAACAAAGATT